AGCAGAACCACAGAGCTAAAACCTGGCCCTAGAAATGTTTGCTTTTAACATACGTAATTCCTCAATTATTTCCTTGCCTGAATTTTCTAATTCTTCAGTTATTCAATATTTAGATTAATAAATTGTGAAACTATAAAAATTAAGGTATAATGGAATCTCCTATACTTATCACTGAGCTTCACAGTTTACCAACTGAATGAAGGCCCCAGTCCCTTGATTATTTTAAAGCAAATCCAGACATTATACGATTTCATCAGTAAATTGATGATATACTTTATAAGACATATTTATTCTTTGTAACTGTATTATCCTGGGAAAGAACCTGGTCTGATAGATGTGTAGTTTTATTAGGATAAGTGAAGTCAGTAATTAAAATTGGCCTTTTATTTTGATATACAGGTGTTCAGCTCTTATGTAAAGTGGATGTTTCCCACACTTGATACCAAACATCAAATAGATAATCTATTTAGTAAAATCTAAGCTGCCATGAAGGAAATACCAGTAAAAGTTGCTGTAAGAGTTAGACCTCTGCTTTGCAAAGAAGTTCTTCATAATCATTAAGTTTGTGTGAGAGTTATTCCAAACACCCAGCAAATTATCATTGAAAGAGATAGAGTCTTTACTAAAGGATAAGGTAAAGCCACAGTGCTGATGAGAAGCTGTAGTGAGTTCCCCTGGGCTAAGTAAGATCGCTGATATAGAAGGCTACTCTTTTGACAGATCTGCAATGTGGGTGAAACCTTCTTGGAAGATGGCTTCGAGGACTTTCATAGCTGCAGAGAAGTCGCTGCCTGGCTGCAGAGCTTCAAAGGACAGGTTGACTCATGTTAGAAGTAAATGCAGCTAGACTTGAAGTGGAAGCCAGTGCTCATTTACCATTCCCAAAGTCCTAGGTCTCCAAGAGGGCTGCGGAACAACACAGCCTGGATGGCAGCATATCTGTTCAAAACATGGTTTACTGAATGTTTGACGCCTACTGTTGAGACCTAATGTTTGCGGGGGGTGCCTTTCAAAATACTGCTACTCATTGACAGTGCACCTAGTTACCCAAGAGCCCTGATGGAGATGTACAATGACATTAATGTTGTTTTCATAACTAATAACACAATATCCATTCTGCAGCCCATGGGTTAAGGAGTAATTTTCACTTTCAACTCTTATTATTTAAGAAATACATTTTCCACACATGTAATCCCAGCTACTCCAGAGGCTGAGGCAGGAGGATCACAAGTTCGAGGCCAGTCTGAGCAACTTAGAGAGACCTTGTCTCAGAATAAAAGGGCTGGGGGGACAGGGTCTTGCTATGTAGTGCAGGCTGGTCTTGAATTCACTATGAAGCCCAGGCTGGCCTCAAACTCACGATCTTCCTTCCTCAGCCTACAAAGTGCTGAGAGTACATGTACCACCATGCCCAGTGATTATTTTTTAACTAAGATATATGTATTGCTTTAGACATAATTTTATTGTACTCTTAGACTACAATGTACTGTAAATGTAACTTTTCTACCTACTAGGGAACCAAAAATTTTATGTGACTTGCTTTATTTCAATATTCACTTAGTTGTGGTGTTATGGAAAGGACCCTGCAGTACCTCTGAGGAATACCTGTATTGATCAGAATATTTTGTCCCTTCCTTGGTGACAAGCTCCAATTAACCCAATTCTGATCTGAATGTGCTGATCTTCATCACAAATAACCAATGACATTGGAACAATCTGTCATTAAATGTTTAAATGATGTTACAATCACTTAAGCAACTACAGTACACAAATTAAAGCTTTAATTTATAATCTTTCTGCAAAAGCACTTCTGTTAGAATTTAATTTAATATTTCTCTAGATTCAAGCTCCAAGTCCAATCGTTCTAATTAATTCTAATCTCCCTAATTAAAGATGCATAACTTTACTTATTCTCCTTAAAAGTAATGGAGGTTATAGATGGATGAATTTCATTATTATTCATGATTGTGGTCAATTATTCTCAGATTCTCAGTTTGGAACCATTTCCCTCTGGGAAGCTATTTGAAAACTAAACAGCTCTACATTTAGCTGCTACCAACAATAACAACAATGAAAAAAACAGACAGACAGATAAAGGAATAAATAAATAAATATCAAACTTATTCCATAAATAGAGAACGAGACAGGCTGGGTCACCATGGAAGGTGTCAGCAGTCCAAGGCTGCAAATGACTGCCAAGCCCACTGGCCAAAGGACAAGGGGTCAGAATAGCAGCTCCCAACAATGGAAAAGTGGCTCCCTACATCAGTGACAAAATCCAGGCTACCGAATAAAACCTATAGATGGAATCTGATCTTGAATTTTACAGGACACAAACAGGAAAGTCCTCATAGCAAGTCCTTTCACAATTGCGCAGTTGATTCTTTGTTCCGTTAGAAAATGAGGGGAAAGTACCTTCCCTCTTAGGCCTAAACTCTTTGGGGTAGAATGTCCAGGACAAAAAAGGAGATCAATAAATTTTTTTCAGACAAAATTAACATGTCCTAACATTGAAGGCGCACAATGGTTGACAAAGTAGGCATTATTGTCCCCATTTTACTATGAAGAAACTGAGAAAGATCAGTTTGGTAACTTCTCCAGACCCAAACTCAGGTCTTTCTGGCTCCAAAGTCAATGTTCTTTGTATTATGTCATGTTGCAAGCCACCTGCCTTGTTAAATTAAGAAAAATCCCTTTCCATTTCTTTTCTAATTATAAAAATTCATAACACGACTGTTTAAATGTAAAGTCCCTTTCTATTCCAATCTCCTTATTCTCTGCAGATGATCTCACTTATTCCTTTATTCAAAATGAGAGATTCTACATTAACAACACTTCCTGTCTCTCCCTCATCCTCTGTTCTTTCAAACTACTGTCACAAAAAAGAGGTGACCCTTCTGTATTTCAAGGCACCCACTTCTTCACCAACAATTTCCCAACCTGCCTATATTATTGTACTTCATTCTTTCTTTTGTGACTTCTTCCTGCCAATGTACAGTATGACATGCTGTCTTACACACACACACACACACACACACACACACACACACACACACACTCCTCCACTCACCAGTCTAACCCTTGAATTATGTCCTGTCCCCCCCACTTACCCTTCATTAATATGCTTTTTTCTCATGGTCTTCACCTTCTTAGCACCTAATCATGTGTGGAAAATGCTCTCTTGAGAACTGAGGGATCAAACCCAACAAATGTTTTTCCCTTTGTCCTTGTCAGTCACTCCATAGTAAGCCACCACTAACAATTCTTATTTCTTCATATTATCTTCTGTGATTTGTATAAAGCTGTTCACTGTTATTTTCTGATTCCATTTTCTCCATCTGACCCAAAATGTAAGTATTTATGTCCATACCTATTTCTCTTCTTATACTCTCTCCCTTGGGTAATTTACTCAAACTTTTCTACTTATCTTCATGCCTGACTAGTGCTGTAGCCCACATTTTCAAATCCTTAGACATTTCACCACCGTCTCCTACTGACATTCCAAACTCACAGTATAGTCATCTCCCTTTTTCATATGTATCTATGTATTACATTGTAAATACTATTCTCCCAGACATTGTGAAGAGTTGGAGTGTTCAGCTAAGAGACCAATTATTAATTATAAGTCTAATATTCAAATACAAGTTACTTTCTTTTGATTAAAAAAATTCTCTCTCTCAGGCCAGGGATTTAGCTCAGTGTTTCCAGCACCTGCCTCACAAGTGCAAGGTCCTGAGCTCGATTTCCAGCACCAAAAAAAAAAAATCTCTCAAGGGCCAGTGATTTAGCTCAGTGGCACAGTGCCTACCTCACAAGTGCCAAGGTCCTGAGTTTGATCCCTGGTACCAAAAAAAGAAAAAAAATTATCTCTCAAACTAATGCATATTTCATATTTCAAACTAGTTTGAAACCGTATTTAAAATGAATGTATATAAAGTAATACACATAGTAAAAAAACTGAAAAATATTTTACACAGGAAAGAGCAGGTTGTCTTCCCTGACTACCTCTGATTCTCCTCTTCAACAGCACTGTTATCAGTTTTATCAGTATTATAAGATTACTGTACATCTCTACATAAATATTTTATGTACTTAAAAGTATATGTATATAGATGCAATTTAAAAATTCCACTACATTTAAATGATAGTATGCAGGTAGTTGGATAGAACTCAGCAACAGACTGCTTGCTTAACACACATGAGGCCCTCCCTGGGTTTCCATTCCGAGAACCACCATGGGAAAAAAGTGAATTAAATAGTAGTATGCTATACACATTATTCTCCAAATTATTTTTTTCACTCAACAGTGTATTTTGGAACTTATTCCTTATCAAACATACTTTATTCATTTTTAGTAATTGTATAATAACCTTGTATGGGTGCATTCTCTGTTAATAGATATTAAAGTTGTTCCCAATTTTTGAAATGCAAGCAATGTCTCATGACTAGTATTTGTATGAATATACATGTTTGGACATATCTATAGCACAAAGTGCTCTACGTAATATTGTTAGGTCAAGGGTATGTGCGTCTTCATTTTTACTGCATATTTTTCCCAAAAACAATGTATGAAATAACTAAAACTAATAACTGGAGTTAATTCAAATGGTCTTTAAAATTTTCAAAATCCCCCATCTTCTACTTTCTGTCAAGCATCTGATGATGTTCCCATTATTGGGACAAAGGAAGTCAGAGGAAGTGCAGTGGGAGTGCAGGTGTGAGACAGTCTCAGATTCTGCTAAAGAGGGCACCTTGGAATAGCGTGATGACCTCAGCAAAAAGATGCTACAGTTGCACACATTCCCAGGTGTTGTCCTCAAAAGTGACCAGTCAGAGAAGGTGGTGCCTGCCAAGGTATCTGCAGGGACAAAGTCCCCAGTGACCGGTCTCTGAAGAAATCACTAATATGCCCCAAAGAAGTCTGATCACTACTAAAGTTCAGACTGAATTTGCCTTGTGTATTCAAAGTCCAGGAGATAACACAGTGAAGACTTTCCTACCTGTCTTAGTCCATTTTCTGTTGCTATAACAGTGTACTTGAGACTGAGTGATTCCAAAAGAAAATAGGTTTATTTTTGGCTCCTGGTTCTGGAGGCTTAGAAGTCCACCAGCATCTGCTCAGCTTCTGTGGGGGGTCGCATGTTGTTTCCACTCTTGGGAGAAAATGGAAAGGGAATACCAGTAAGCACATGAAAGAAAAAAAAAGGGCCAAACACAAGAGAGAGCCGTGCTGTATAACCTCTTGCTCTCATATGTATTAACCATTAACCAATCCACACCCACAACAGCACGAACGCAGTCAAGAAAGGCATTTGGGAGCCTCTGCCCAATGATTCAAATATTTTCTACTGGTCCTACCTCCCAACATTGGCACGGTATGGACCAAGCCTCAGCAAGACTTTTGGAGGAGACAAACCATAGTCAAACCATAGCATCTCAGCTCTTAAGCTCTGTATGTGTGTTAAAAGCCACAGCTGCTGGGGGCAGGGAGTAATAAAGAAAAAATACAGCTCAACATAGTTTTAACTGATACACAAGCAAATGCCCTCAAAAGATTATAGAATATGTGCAGCAAGACTTGTACAGTGATGTTCATAGCAACACTTATAAAAGTAAAGTACAGAAAAAAACATAAAATGTTTTCATGAATGTTTTCACATGTGGATGTATATGATTTGGCCTTTTCCTGCAATGAAATGTTATACAGCAAAACAAATAAATTATGTGTGTGTGTGTATATATATATATAAACATGGATGAATCTCAGGAATAAAATGTTGAGGGGAAGAAGCAAGGAACAGATACATACTGTATTATTCCATTTATCCAAAATTCAAAAACATGCAATATATTACATTAAGTAGTATATTACCTTAGAATGCATACAGACTGGTAAAAATTTAAAGGAAAACTAGGAAATATTAAATATAAAATTCACCCAGAGCCAGGTGTGGTGGCGCACGCCTGTAATCCCAACATTAGGAAGGCTGAGGCTCAAGGCCAGCCTGAGCTACATAGTCAGTTCAGGGCCAGCCTGAACTACAAAGAGAGACCCTACCTCAAACCACCTGCCCAAAAAATAAAATTTACCCAGCCATGGTAGCACACACTTATAATACCAGCACTTGGGAGGCTAAAGCAGGAGGATTAAGAATTCAAGGCCAGGGCCGGGGATTTAGCTCAGTGGTGCTGCCACCTGCCTCACAAGTGCAAGGTCCTGAGTTCGATCCGTGGTACAAAAAAAAAGAATTGAAGGCCAGCTTAGGCCACATAGTGAGACCTGTCTCAAAAAGAAAAACATAAAATTCAGAATACAGGTTCCCCTGAAAAAAAAAGTAGAATTGGGATGGAACATTCTAGGGTATTCTAAAATACAGACAATAAACTCATGATCCTGTTAATGTTTTCTGATATTAAAAAACAGGATACAGGGAGTGTTCTAGTTCTTAAAAAGTAGGGGGGAGTATTTGTTTTACTGTCATTCTTTACCCTTTGCATTCTTTATACCTTACATATTATAAATGTTTTTAATTTGCTCAGTAATAAAAACAAATCTTAGAAAAATAACTACATATTTTAGTTAATCTGAAATGTTTTCATAATCATGTGGAATGCATATAAAGTGATAGGTATCACAATGATCAAAAAATTGAGTCTATTTTTATGTGCCTCCAACTCATGACTCACTTGTCCTTGGAGATTTTAAACAACCAATGCAGGAGTATTTGTTTTCTGAGTGCAGCAGATACCGTGCAACTGTAAGAGGCACCAGCTTTGTTAGAACAACACCCAACAGAAGTGGGAGGCATGGATTATCTTACTACCCTTCCAATGCCACAACTCCACTTTGAATTATCCTCTCACTGGGTCAGGGATCTAGCTCAGTGATTCTGCCACCTGTCTCGAAAGTGCAAGGTCCCAAGTTCTATCCCAGGTACCAAAAAAACCCCAAAAAAACCAGTGTTTGAATTATCCTCTCACCAAGGTAAATAGGGTCTCACTAGTTGCTAGGCTGGGCTTGAACTTGTAATCCTCCTGCCTCAGCCTTCTGATATCTGTGATTACAGATGTACACTACAGCATCCAGCAGCTGGTGGATGGGTATTGTCCTCCCTGCTCCAAGAACCCTTGGTGATTATTTTTAACACACTGGATCCACGGAGCCATCACTCCATTTACTGAGTATTACTCTATGGCAAGCACCACTGTCTCATTTAATCTCCAGCATTATTTATGGATAGAGGTATTTATCCCATTTGACAAAAGAAAACAAGCTGAGGTAAAGGATATCTAAAGCCACAGTATCAAGTAATAGAGGCAAGATTCAAGTTCAGGTCTTTCTTACTCCAAGTGTGAACTTCTTGCCTGGTATCAGGCATTCTTCTACATGGAGCTTTCCTTGACTATCCCATTTCTCAGTGAACACTCCTCCCTGTTTGAGGCAGACAACTCTACCTAAGGTCTCCTGAATAACTTATATTCTGCCCACATCTATGCTTTCCTTATGTTATTCCCCTGCTACAGATATCCTCTCCTGCTTTCATCCAAAAACTTCATACAAGCATCATTTGGAAATGCTCTCCTTCAGAAGCCTCCCTGAACAAACCCAATTCCAGAGTGGTCTCACTTCCTCAGAGCATCTTTTGTCTTCTAGTCATTTCATCAACACTATTGTTTCTACAAGAGACAAGAGTGTTTTCCTGTATGGCATTTTGTTTTGCTTTCTTTGAGGTCTGCATATAGACATACCCAGTGACTGCTGATTAAATGAAGAAGTCAGTTATTGGGTGCGGTACAGACCTAAATATTATCCCTGGGGCAGTGGTTCTGAAAAGATGCCAACTCTTTTTTCAGTCTTGTTAAATCTACAGGTGCCTAGCTTCATTCTAGAGACCTGGTGAATCAGAATTTCCCAGGATGGGGGGGAGGGGGGAACTGAGTATCCATATTTTTTTATAGTTGATTATTTTAGTGCAGCCTCAGATGAGAATTTTATGCTTTGTTCCAGTTCAGGACTGAGTAAATCCTGGTAAACACACAAAAAGAGCCATGTAAAGAAAGGTGAACCAACATTCTAAGAATTATATAAGACAATCAAGTAATCTATTTCCTATAAACATGACTGTTTTGAGGGAAGAAGAGGAGGAGAAAAGGAAGAAAGGACACAGAGAAGGGAGGGAGAGAGGAAAGGAAAAATAGGAGGGAGAGAAAGGAGAAGGAAGAGCAACAGAAAGAGAAGGAATCATGGTTTCCATAGGCTACCATAACAAAACACTGCATACTAGGTGTCTTAAACAATAGGAACTATTTTCTCACAATTCTGGTGGCCAGAAGTCCAGGATCAAGGTACCAACGTGGTCAGCTCCTGGTGAGCACTGTCTTCCTGGTTTGCAGACATCTGCTTTCTTACTGTGCCCTCACATAGTAAGAGAGGTAGGAGTAATCTCTTCCTCTTCTTAGAAAGACAACAATCTTACTGGATTTGTACCCCACCTTTATGATCCTAATTTTCCCTCCCTGGGAATTGAACCAGGGGCCTCTACCACTGAGCTGCATCCCCAGCCCTTTTTGTTTTTGTTTATTTTTGTTGTTGTTGTTTTGAGAAAGGTCTCACTAGTTTGCCAGGGCTTGGCTTGAAGCTGGCTTCCTGTCTCAGCATACTGATAGGTATGCATCAAAATATCTGGCAGCCATTTGACCTTAATTACCTTCAAAAAGCCATGTCTCCAAATATAATCTCATTGTAGAAAGGAATACAATTCAGTCCATAACAGAAGAGAAGGGAAGAGAAGAGGCAAAAGGGCAGAAGAGAAGAGCAGGAGGGGAAGGATGTAGGCTGTCTTTATGAAATTTCACAGAATCAAAAAGCAGCCAATTCTGCATCTGAGCAATCCTAACTGGCAAGACTTCCTTAACCATACACTAAAACCGTCCCCTTAATCTCAGAAGTCAGACGAGTCCCTCTTTGAGAGATTTCCCACAGCTACCCCACCCAGGGATTGCAAATGCAGATACCTACAAAACCAGGGCAGACACCATCTGTGAAGGCAGCAGGGTGTTAGACAGCAGGATATGGTGTGAACCCAAGGTGAGTTCGAAAAGAGGGCCTTCTGAAAGGGGATAGCATAACCACCTCCAGACAACTATTTCCATGCAGCTGAAGATCATAATTGCTAGATCCAAATAGAGTGAAGGACAAAAACCATATGATCATCCCAATAGATGCAGAAAAAGCATTTGACAAAATCCAACACACATTTATGATAAAAACCCTATAAAAATTTGAATAGATGGCCTCTGCCTCAATCTGATAAAAACCATCTATGAAAAACCAACAGCCAATATCATACTAAATGGTCAAAAACTGAAATCCTTCACACT